CGCAGTCCGGCTTACAGGATTTAGTCAGAACTTACAGGAAGTCGTTCCTATTGACATAAAACCTGTAAGTGGGAACACTTTTGAGAGAGTAATTGAGCAACTGTTCCTAGTCAGAAGTTACAGGATTTAGTCCGGAGTTTTTTTCCTGTAAGTGCATGAAAAGTGTCAAACGATCAGCTGATTTACATGTGCAAACAAAAACAGAAAGCGGTGGAAGCAAATAACCTTATATTTGTTAAAAAATGGAAGTAGTTTTGTAGTTTTGTTTTCCAAAAAAAAAAATATATACCACTACACTCACCCCAATGATCTCTACCGATCCCCATATAAATTTGTTTAATATGGGAATTGAAGGTATTCTGCATTTATGCCAAATTGGGAAATGCATAAAATCCAAAAACACAGGCCCTGAAAATTGCGAAAAGTCCCAGAAATAAAATAAGAAAGAGAAAATAGTCGAATGGTCCGTCTACATACAGCTTTGGCGTTGCGTTGGCGTTGATGTCGCTTCAACAGCTGACTATAATACATGAATTTAAATGCAACCGTCCAAATAGCCGAAATTTGGCAACGCTAACGCCAACACAAAGCAGAAGATGGCCAACTCTCAACTTTTCGCGTGCGTCGTTCGTCGGCTGTTGCAAATAATTAAAATTATGTGAAATATTTTTCCTTTTTAATCAAATTCGGGCAAAGAAATATCGTTTTTAATACAATTATTGATATGAAATTCTGATTTATCTGTCGCTAATATGATAATTTAATGGCCAAGTATTCGCTGCCTGCCAATCGTTCATTGAGCAAGCACTGGCGTTAAGTGCATTTATTGCTTTTTTCAATGCCAAAAATGGGGTAGTTTTTATCTTTCGAAAATATGGTTTGATCTTTTTGTATTAAAGTTAATGTAATAAGAAAATGTTACAAAGAAAAATTACGCAATTTTTGGAAGAAAGGTCCCCAATTCAAACTTATTACTTCTACTATCTCGAAACAGCTGGCAATTGAAATTCCGTAAATAAAAAAACAGTTTTTGGTGTTAGCTTAAAACAGCCATTTAATTTATCAAAATTTTTCTGCGCGGTTTCAGCCCAACAAGTAACAATGCATACTCGCAGAACATCTTGCGGTACTACCAAAAATATAAGCCATAATGCTAAGTTTTTATAATGACTTTTCACAGACTAACCGGTCGTCCTACAGCGCAGCAGTGGCCACAATCAATATCGCTTTCAAGGGAGCATTTTCCTTCCCGACTTCCGAAGCAACCTAAGGATTTATGTGCTAACCTGTGTGAATACGCAAACGATCTGTTAAGCGTAAGTATAAAATGAAAAGGTATAGTTCGTTTTGATACTTATGTAGTTGATGATATTTTTTATTTTTTTTAGCTAATGCTTTCTTACGACTTCAGATCCCGCCCCTCAGCGTTGGCTTGTTTAGAGCACGAGTACTTTCAACAAGAGCCTATGTAACATTTGCTGCTGCTACTATTTGTACTGATTTAATATAAGTATACCGTATTTAGTTTGTTAATTTTTCACTAAGCCATTAAATAATTTAAAATTTAACTTAGTAACTAGTAGAAAAAATAATAATCTGAATTTTGTATGTACATAAGTAGTTGGAAGTTTACTTCTGATATACCAATGATACGGATAATTACATATTTTTATGTTTTCATCCCAGCCGGAAATTTGACTACTGAAATAGCTAACTTTTGGTCCACCTTTTACGGCTACCTTATCACTGGCTTCATAGTCAAGCAGGGCTCAACCGAAGAACTATGTGTAAATTTTTTTGTTTCACAAAGAAAAAAGAAAAGCAACTACATATCGTGAGCTTAATTTACAAAGGCCATAACCAACTCTTTTTTTCGAAACTGCGTAAAATACACCTTCAATAAATATTTTAAATTATTAATACCAAAAACAACGGAGTTACATCCCACTTTTTAAAAAGCCTTAAGCTGATGCCAGATAAAACTTTGTAGCTTTGCGTGACATTAGGTTTGTTCGTCGAGCAAAAAATTTGTACGAATTTGTACGAATTATCACGATTTTTGCCCAAATCGCGTTCGTGCAGACCAAAAAATTATCCAACACTCAAAAATTGTGAGAGCAAAGTGACAGTTCTCTTGGGGAGAAGTTGCAAATTCTTGCTGGAAAAAATTTTGCCAGCAAGAATTTGCAAACACGAAAAACATGTGGTGGTGGGCGCATGGTTGCATTTTTGTCTACAATAATTTGAATAAATTAGTTCGTTAAATTTAAAAATTTATAAACACGAGCGATTTTTTTATGAAAAAAGGAAGTAAATAATTGTTGATATAATTAATTTAGTTAATTCCAATGATTTGAACTTAATTCGGCTAAAAAAATGGTATTCGCAATCGGAATGCAATTGCAACCAGAGTCGATTTAAGAAACCCGACAGCTAGTACGATGAAGATATTGAAATGTATGTTAAAGAAAGTCAGAACAACAAGAAATATACATGTATATCCTGTTTTTGGCCATCCGAAAGAATTTTAAAAATTCTATAAAAATTTTTTATGTTTGAAATGCAACCGTGGACGCCAGCTGGCAGCGAAATTTGCAAATTCCATCACACAAACAGTCAGAGCATACGCGTCTTGGCACCCACATCACTGTTGACAGTTACAAGTTTGAAAAAGTAGACGACTTCGTTTATTTGGGAACCAGGATTAACACCGATAATAATGTCAGCCTTGAAATCCAACGGAGAATCACTCTTGCCAACAAGTGCTACTTTGGGCTGAGTAGGCAATTGAGAAGTAAAGTCCTCTCTCGTCGTACAAAGACCACACTCTATAAGTCAATCATCATGCCTGTGCTGGTGTATGGCGCCGAGGCATGAACAATGAAAGCATCTGATGAGGCGGCTCTTGGAGTTTTCGAGAGAAAGATTCTGCGAAAGATTTACGGACCTTTACGCGTTGGTGATGGCGAATATCGCAGACGATTTAACGATGAGCTATATGAGCTTTACAACGCTATAAACATAGTGCAGCGAATTAAAATTCAGCGGCGCCGCTGGCTTGGCCATGTCGTTCGAATGGACACCGACGCTCCAGCTCTGAAAATATTCAACGCGGGCCGCGATGCTGGTAACAGAAGAAGAGGAAGGCCTCCTCTGCGTTGGAAAGACAAGGTAGAGAAGGACTTGGCTTCACTAGGCATTTCCAATTGGCGTCAGTTAGCACAGAAGAGAAATGACTGNATTTCCAATTGGCGTCAGTTAGCACAGAAGAGATATGACTGGCGTGCTGTTTTGGACTCGGCCAAAATCGCTTGGGCGGTTACAGCGCCAATAAAGAAGACGAAGAGAACCGATTTCAAAACAAATATTTTTAAAGCAAAAAACAAAACTTCAATTCTCATATAAAAAGGAGTGCTACTAATTTCTTCATGATCCAATGATAGGATCTAAATCAAATTAGTATGGGACCACATCTGGGGTACCACTTTTCCTTTTTTGACGTCTGTTAAAAAGGAGGAGGTTACCAATTCGTCGAAATATTTTATTTTTATGTATGTTACCGCATAACTTTGGACCACGTGAACCGATTTCTATAATCCTTTCTTGAAAGGAAAGGTGGTACCTCAGACCTACGTGATTTAGATCCGATCATTATATTAAGAATACATTAACGGTACTCTTAATTTTTATATATAAGGATTGAAGTCGGTTTTGTTTTTTGTTTAAAAAATTGCTTGTTTTTATAATGTTTTTCGCTTATATGAAATGAAAAAAATGTTGGTTATGGCCTTTGTGAATTAAGATCAGTGAGCGGACTTCTACCACATTGTGGTAGATCTGCCACTTTTTTGAGCATCTACCACATCTCCCACACAACGTCTGAAATCTACCACATATTCGCATTTTTGAGTAGTTTTATTTTTGCTCGACATAGTTTTCTTAAGTTTAAGAGCAAAAATTGTCCAACACTAAACACTAACAACAGGCAGAATGGGATTATAAAATAAACTGTAAAATATTAAATTTTCTAATATTCCATTTTTCGACTGAAAACGTGGTTTTATTGTGTTAAATTGTAAAATATATGATTTATAAAAATAATTAATAGCAAGATATTAAAAAAACGGCGATTTTTGTGAAAGTATTAGCAGATTTCAGTGCATCTTAAGATTCTAAAGCGTTGTTTACTTTTACTTGAGAATTGTCAAAATAGGAAAATCCCAAGTAGCGGTTTCTGGAATGTGCCACATTTGTTCGCTACATCGTGATGTGATAGAAAGAAAAGCTGACACTACTCCGCAAGGTTGCAGAAATCTTTCAAAATATGTTCGAAAAATATCTTGATATAGAAGGAACTGCTTTACACTGTCAAGGAAAAAAATGCGTGTGTAACACCGTACACATGATAGAAGTGAAACTTCTTAAAAAGGCGTAAGTGCCAGGTACCTAGTCACAAAATTGGATGTGTAAACATATGTTTACGGTACGGCAAACCATTAGTCGATTGAGTTACATACATAGGTTTGGTTATAAATCAAACAATAATTTCATTTCATCTTATTAATAATCTGATATACAAAAAAATACGCAAATGTCAAGCTGTGAAGCTGTGTTTTTCTGTGATCTGTTTAAATTTTGTGTTTTATAAAGCTGTTTACGCTTATTAACGCAAAAAATTAAAAAAAAGTGTTAATAAACTTCTGATTTAACTTGATATTCTTAATTGCATGTGCCGAGTATTTTGTTTCATATAATATATTGTTGTTGTACAATTGTTTTTGTTTGTGCACATTGATTTTGCTCTTTTTGTCTTTTTGTNAATCTGATATACAAAAAAATACGCAAATGTCAAGCTGTGAAGCTGTGTTTTTCTGTGATCTGTTTAAATTTTGTGT